TCTAAGATCATATTAATCAAACCAATAATAAAAATCCACAATAATGTTATTATTTTTATATTATAAAATTAGTTAAGGAATATTGATTTGTACATTTGTTTACGTGAAATATACAAAATTGAAAAAAATTGCAAAAACATTAAAAATTGCAATAAATTGCAACATAAAATTAAACAGAAAGACAGTAATTAATACAAATCGTGTACATATTTGATCAGATTTGATTTATCTTAACTACAAAAAAAGTTGCAATATCAATTAAATCCGGTCTTTACTTATAATTTAATATTATTTTAATTTTAATTTTATTTCCCTGTGAATACATGTTATTGTATTGTTATAATTTTAATTAAATGATAGGTATTTCGAAATCATTCTGCATTAGAGTACCACACATTTTCTGTTTTGAAATCTGATGAATTTTTAAAAATATATTTAAAAAAAGAGCCAACAATAGTAGAACGACTGGATACAGATAGGTACTTAATTATTTATTAGCTTAAGTCTGTAAGTATGTACTTACTTTGATATTTTTTTTTGTTAAAGAATTAAACAAATCAAGGCGAATAGAGAGCGACTCATTCCAATCGTTGATTGTGTCATACTTTGTGGTCGTCAAGAGATTGCTCTACGAGGGCATAAAGATTATGGAAAAATTGATAGTATGTTTAAAATTAAATAATGTTATAGCATAACATATTATATAATAATGCTACCATTCAACTCAACCTTAATATACATTTTTCATATTATAGTGGAATGTTCATTAAATCAAGGCAACTTTAGAGCCATATTAAAGAATAGAGCATATGGTGATGAGATGTTAAAGCATATCATTACAAGTGAAGGACGGAACAAATACCTAACTCCTCAAATCCAAAATGAAATCATAACCGCATGTGGGGACATTATGCTGCGAAAAATAGTTAAGAATGTAAATGCTTCAAAATGTTTCTCAGTTTTAGTTGACGAGACTACTGATATTTCTACTATTGAACAAATGGCTATGTTTGTTCGATATGTTGACGATAACGATTGTATCCATGAGAGATTCCTGAAATTTATTACTATTAACAGTTTAACCGGTTGTGATTTAGCTGAATCAATACTCAACGGTAAATTAAAATGATATTATGTTTTTAATAAATTAATAATTGTATGGTTATTATATTTTGTAAATAGGTCTGAATAGTTGTGAAATTAATTTAGATTACTTTATGGTCAAGAATATGATGGTGCAAGCAACATGTCTGGCCAATATAAAGGTGTTCAGGCAATTATCAAAAAGAAATATCCTAAAGCTATATATGTGCACTGTGCAGCACACTCTCTGAACTTAGCAGTATCAACTGCAAGTGGAATTCAACCAGTTAGAAACTGCTTAGGTATTATCGAAAAGTACTATGTTTTCTTTAATACACCAAAACGCCAAAATGTTCTTTTAACCAACATTGAAAATAGGTAGTAATGAGGATCCTAAGGTTAAAACTTTAAAAAGATTATGTGCTACACGATGGGTGCAGCGTTATGATGCTGTAACTGATTTCATTGAACTATTTGCATTTGTAGTTGAATCATTAGAAAATATTTCTAATTGGAATGATTCCACAGCAACGGAAGCTAATATACTACTAAAAGCTATTGATTCAGAATTTCTTATATCCTTACAAGTTATACAAGTAAATAGTAATTAATAAATATAATTTATATTATTTTATACTAAAATATTTTTTCAGTTGGTTTTTTCTTTTGGTTTACCATTTTGTAAGTTGCTACAAAAAGAACAAATTGATTTGAGAGAAGCAGTAAGCCTTGCTGAAGATATTATAAATGTATTAAAAAATATCAGATTAAATTGTGATACTGAATTCCACAAATTGTTTTTGCTTGCAAAAGTAAGTATACTAAAATAAAGTATATTATTATATGAATTATATGAAAAGAATTATGTTTATATTTGACATTTGTAATAGGAGATGTCAGTAATTATAGATATAGACTTGAGTACTAAAAGAATATCTAAACGACAAGTAAATCGAGCAAATCCAGATCCCAATTTAAGTGTTGAAGAATACCACAAAGTGTCAGTATTTATACCCTACCTGGACTTTTTTATACAACAACTAGGAGAAAGATTTTCAATCCATTCTGAAATTTTTAAAGGTACCTATATTAAATTAAATTATTATTATCATTTTTAATTAAATTGGTACCTAGTTTCTATAAAATTAAAAACAAATCACTGAAATAAAATATTCATATAATCAATCTATATTATTAAAATCAACCTTAAATGGTTTATGTATATTGTATATATGTCATATTTTATAGGATTTCAAAGTCTATTTTCCTATACATTAACTTCTAATGAGGAGGTCTCATTTAGAAAATGACTTGAATTTTATTCACCTTCTTTGGATGTGAACAACTCAATTGCAGAATTGAAATTGTGAAAGATAAAACTTGAGCGAATAAACAATATTCCGAAAACTGCAATTGAAGCATTACATGTGTGTAATACCAATATTTATCCAAATGTGCATTTTATTTTAAAAATACTATGCACACTTCCTGTTTCTACAAGTATCCCTGAAAGAATGTTTTCCAGTCTTAAAAGGATAAAAACGTATCTTCGAAACAGTATGTCCGAGGTTAGTAATTATAATAGCTGTGCACCTGTGCTTAATAAAATACATTTTCATAATATCTAATGAAAAAAATGTTTTAATTTATTTTGTAGAAAAGACTTAATGGTCTGGCAATGTTGGCAATTCATAATGGTATTACATTTTCAAATGAAGAGGTCGTTGATGAACTTGCCAAAAAGCCTAGGAATCTGGACATAATATTGTAAAATATTAAAACATTTGTAAATGTATAATGTTATGTAATATAGAATGATTATATTTACATGTGTTGAGTTATTAAATTATACAAAATATAGATAAGGGGGTGTGGGCTGTGGGGGCAAAGGCCCCCACAAGTTTACCCTACAAATTTATTTTGATCCCCCCCCATCAAACATTCTCAGAAACGCCACTGAGAAAGACCATCTTAACTTTAGGGTCTAAATGTAGTAGTAATTTACTATTGCCTGCATTCAACTATTTACACCACTGGTTATATTATACTATATTCAGTAAGCTTAAACCAGTGGATATTTTAACTAATATACTGGGCGACAACGATTTTTGTAAAAATCTCGATGTTTGAAATTATTATATAATTTTATTTATTGATTATTTACTATGTTTTGTTATTTATGAGGTATATCATTTCGTTTGACAAATAATTATTGAGAGTGAAAAACCCACATGACCGTTCACCATAGCCCGTAGGTATCCATAGAACAATACAATGCGAAATGTTTCATCTGGTCGTCAGTCGTCCAGGCAAATATCTATTATCTACAAATTGATTGTTTTTGATTTTATTTTAGTACCTAGTACCTACCTACTTGTTCCTACAAGATATTAGCTAAATAATTATTTCCCTTTGAACATTTAAACAGTATAAAAGCGGGTTTTCACTACACACGTTTGCCGTGTACACGAAAAATGTTCAGCTATGTCCAACAACACGGTATCGTGGTTAATCGTGTGGTAACTTAACATAACCAACCAATCACAGCAAAGGATTTGTATGCACGTGAACGCGTCCGTGTATAGTGGAAACCCGCCTTAAACGTTCAAGGCAGGGGCGTGCCCAGAATTTCTTTTTGGGGATGGTTTAGTTTAACCTTAAAGTTTTAAAGTTAAACTTAAATACTTGAACAATATACTTCAAAAAAATTGTAAGTATATACTGTAGGTACTAATAAAAAAAAATTTAATATTTCATGTAAATTTGTTTAGTCAAAAATAAAATAAAAATTAATAAATTAGTTATCTATAAAATAAAGTCCATTCTTCTTGATACTAATGCAAACTTTGATACAACTTCATCTGGATTTACTGGTATGTCGTTGTGAATTGAAAGCAGAGCTAAACCAAGCAGTCGACTGAAATAAGTCAAAAAAATAAGCCAGTCAATTTGGGGGTGGTTTGAACCCCCAAAACCACCTCCTCGGCACGCCCCTGCTTCAAGGTACCAGGTTACCTATATGTAACTACGACAACATGACGACTTTCGTCATTTTCGGTACCTACCTAAGTATAAAATAATTTAAAATCTAATATTTTATGCTTGGACTTATAATAAATACAGTACCTCTTCTCAATAATGATAATATATTACAAAATACAATAATCCTAAATGAAATATACCTATATGCTAGCATAATATGATACGTATAACCATTGGTTATAAATACTAGTAAAAATAGTAGTATTTATAATCAATGGTATTGGTGTAATATTATTAATATTCTGTACATTTCTATGAATAACCAATAAAATAACTATTATTATAAATTATTATTTATTAATTAATATAATTAATAATGAAAAGTTTTTTATAAGCTCATAATATGATGTTGCGTGAAATTTGTTTTGTGAATGTCGCCCAGTGATAATTCCTAAAAATATTCACTGGCTTAAACGGTCAACTTCTGCGCATGGGCGTGCCTTTGTTCCAAAGCACTGGACGCTCGAGTCGACTCTGCAGGAGAATAGTCTGACCGTCGCTGACGAAAAGTTGTTGCCGTCGAGGTACGTTCTTATTCTGAATATACTATAGATTATTATAGAATTATATAGGTATAATGTATATAATAAATAAAACCTGTAATGATATGTACATTAAAATAGGACGTTTTAATAAAATACATTATAGGTACAGTATACAGTATACACTATGCAGCATCGTACAGGATACGTTTACTGTGTTGTTATAATAATAATATTAGGACATTTTTGTCTTTATTTAAAATAATACAACAACCCTGTGTGACTGTGCCTACTGTAATTAATACATTACTATGATAAATTAGTAATATGACTTATATTCGCTGTATCTATATGGGGTGCAACGCCTTCTCGGACCTGCAAGACCAGCTCCTATTAGCGACTATTGAATATATCCAAAATGGTGTTGAATCTATCAGATTCCATTTCCAATACTTTCTGTTGTATTTCCTTTTCTTTGGATTTTTCTAATTTTCCCCAAACTTTGGTCGTCGTGGTTTCCATTTCGTCATTCTTGCAGCTATACATATTATAATATTAATAATTATGTATGATGTAGGAATATAATACATAAATATAGTTAGTATAAAAACAGAAAAAGGGACTGCATGTACATTTAAGACAGGAATGGGAGGCAGTAGGACGAATGTACCATCTGAGATTTTTTTTATGCCGCTATATTTAGTCTATATATAATGATAATAATAATAATGGTGAACATGATCACGACGAGAAATTGAGAATCATTTGGCTGCCATGTAACGACAAAAAACAATTATAGTAATAGTATGCGTTGCACGTTGGTTAAAATATCGAAATTGGATAACCTTAACTGATCAAAAACAAAAAACTGAGAAATCGCTCTGCTGTGGGTGTCAAATATACCTCATCACATTGAGTTAGTTACCTACTGTAATAATGTCCCTAATATATATGGATATGTTAGAGTTAGAGTACCTATTATTTTATATATTGTTCACAATAGGCCGTATCTCCTCTGGTCAGTGGTCAGTGGTCCGTGGTCAGTGGCTACGGTTAGGTGTGTATTTCGTGAAGACGCGCCAAACATTTTCCGGTATCAACTTCAGTGGATTCTAAAATAATATGAATCGTCATATTTATCATTAATTTAGGTACTAGGTATATGAATTATTTATAATAAATACAATATAATATTGATTTGATTCTTTTTGAACTGTTTACGGACATTGTCTGGTTTCAATATTTTTAGTTTTTTTTTCTATAAATATCAATAAAATTGTATTTGTTGGGCAAAAAAGCATGAAAATTTAATGCAAGGCTATTAATAATGACAAAATTTATCAAGTTTAACATTTAATAATTATTTTGTAGTTAAAAATTTATAAAATATTCAACTTTTATATTTAAAGATTGGAAATTTAAAACAAGGTTCCACGTAAATAGGTTATATATAAATTACTTTTTTCACAATATCATCAAATATACTTATTAATATCATGGCTGACTGACCGTTTCCGCTCAGAATCGTTTTCCTTATACAATGATATTATATCATTGAATTCAAATTTAACACCATCAGTAAGTGACCCACTTGTAACTTACTGTACAGCAGAGCGACACCCACTTACCCGCCTTTTTTGTATACCTACTCATTTACTTGAAAAGTTTGATAATTTAAATAATTTTAAAAATATGTGGATGTTGGTGATAAAAAATGTAATCAAAATCTGATTGAAAACTTTCACATGAGTTTGTAGTATGTATTCTATACCTAATCTCATTTTTATATTCGTGTAGGAACTAACACACTCACCCTTTTTCTTACCGTATAGAAACTTATACATATCTCATTTTTATATTCGTGTAGGAATTAGCACATCACATTTGTAGGAACCAACATACAGTGGCGTAGGTCTCCTTAGCCCCCCTCTTGGCTGTGTTGACCTTAGAATTTTATCAAGATTAATAAAAAAATAAAAAGTGTAAATAAAAGACATATTGTATTTGTATTTTTTTGTGAGACATAGCTACGCCACTGGTAACGTATGTAATTGTTTACTTGCTACTCTCGTAGTCTCGTGTAGGAACTATTAATATTCCCCTTACAAATAGGTATATAAGGTACCTTATAATACCTATAGGCAGTGTTGTGCATTATCTATATAAAATATAATTATCTTTTTATGTTATCTGGATAAATAAATAGGTTATCTAAAAATAATTATCTAGATAATTATTCAGTCAATGATTTAAAAATTCAAATTTTAAAATACCGAATTCACATCGTTTCATAATAATAATAATAATAATAATAATAAATAGTATGATAATAACAGACTATAGACTGTGGTGTTCGTGAGTACGAACATTGGCCCGATAAAATGCGGCGTAGTCGACATTGCGGGAAAAAACATTTTCAGCTAAAAATAGTTTAGGCGTTAAGAGGACGCCACACCCGTATGTGTTGTCTCCGTCTTACAAATGTACAACATAGCAAAAACTCTTTTGCGAGGGACAACTTTTCTCGCACCATATTTGTTGTAGAACTACCAAATTTTCACAGCACTTAAAGAAGAACTTTATCTGTGCAACAGCGTGCTCTTTTTTTCAATAGCACCATCCAATCATTTTTTATAAGCAAATTAAAAAACCAAATGTTTAGAAGCAAATAACTTGTATTGTATATATGTTATTGAAAAAAAGAGCACGCTGTTGCACAGATAAAGTTCTTCTTTAAGTGCTGTGAAAATTTGGTAGTTCTACAACAAATATGGTGCGAGAAAAGTTGTCCCTCGCAAAAGAGTTTTTGGTATGTTGTACATTTGTAAGACGGAGACAACACATACGGGTGTGGCGTCCTCTTAACGTCTACGGACTCAATCACTTAATATTTTGTTTATATTGATAATCCGTATACACAATTACGGAGAAAATAGAACCAGCCGTTTCTAGTTATTAAAAATTAAAATACACATACTGATTACTGAGTATCTATTATTTTATTGATCATTAGAATCTACTGTATCAAATAATATTATAGTCTTCTATTTCCGCATTCGTCGTTCACTCATCATTACCTAGTACCTACGGAAGTTATATAAGTTTAATTTAACAGTCATTTTATAACGTATTACTTCGAAAATCGTAATGGATAAATTTGTAACATCTTTTCGTAAAAGACAAAATGAGGACAACGAATCCGAAACGAATCCTGGACCGTCTGAACACAAACGCGAACGCGAACCAGATATTCAAGAATATAATACATCGTCTAAAATTAATGCAACAATTGATGAAAAAGAAAATTACCTATTAGATGGTAAATTTTTTAAGAAGATTTCAGACACTGGATCAAAAATGTCAGTTACTTGTTTAAACTGCACTAAAAAGATAATTGCGTACTGAGGTTCTACTGGGAACTTATTGAGTCACTATATTACTATAAAGTAAGTGTAATTTCAAAATATTTTGAATTGTATTATTTGATTAGTTATAAGTTATAACTAATACTACTAAATACTAACTAAGTACTAACTACTAAGTGCAAATATATTATTTTAAAGTATTTACATAATATGTATTTTGTAAAAAAAAGTATTAGTTTGTACATTCAAAAATATCTATACTAGTTATAAGTTTATAACTGATAGCTACCTACTATATTATTTAATAAAGTTAGTACATTGAATAAACTAAAATACCTAAAATAAAAGTAGGTACCCAAAATAAAAAAACCTCCCTGAGTGATATGCAGATTATACAATAATTTATAGCCATTATGTAATATTTAGTCTATTTAAAATTACTTTAGTACCTATAATAGTTTTTAATGAAGACTGCATTTTGTATTCATTTATCTATGGGTACTAGTGTAGGTTCTGCTATAGTCTATAGTACCTACCATTATAATTTATAACTGATTTTACTGAATAATTAAAATTTAAAATTTACTCTTCAACTCTTGAATATTTTCATAGCATGTGCGGCCGGGTTTGATGACTGAATTAAAGGCATATAAAATAGAGAAATCTACTTCTAAAAGTGTGACAAAACCAATGCAAACACAATTATTGATATGTCATTCTACTGAAAACTCGGTATTCAAGAGGAAATGTTCAAAAGAAAAGGTATACATTTGCATATTATCATCACCTATTAATTAACTCTGAAAGAATTAGTTAATTATTATGATGACTATGTACATAAATAATTTTAATATAATTCTATTTAATTAAATTTTAAATTCTATATAATAGAAAATTAATAGAACATGCATACTACAAATTACCTATTGAATTCTTTTTATTCAAATTTCTAATTAAATGTAATAGAAAATTAATAGAACTTATCTATTACCTAGGTATAATTTTAAATTTTAAGTATATTTATAAATTTAATTTATTTTATCCAACTTTTAAAAAATGCAGTAGTGTAGAAGTGTAGTACCAACCAATAGGCTACAATTGTATGAATTGTAATAAAAAAATATTTTCAGTGAACTTTTGAGATCTTATAAGTTATAAGTGCCTACCTATTATAATTTAAAATGTACTGAATACAATTAAAGAAAGAACAAAAATAAGACATTTCTAAATAATATAAATAATGTATACTGTATACCATATTATTAAAAAAGTTCATATTTATGTCCTTACTTCATTTGTATTCAGTACATTTTAAATTATTATAGGTAACTACCTATAAAATCTCAAAAGTTTATTGAAGATATTTTTTTATTGCCTGTTTTTTAATAATTATGTAAAATAAATTAAATTTATAATTAATACGTTAATTAAAATTTAAAAACATAATATGTCATGTTATATAAATTTGCTATTACATTTAATTTAAAATTTCAATAAATAGAATTCAAATATGTAACTATCTAAAAGTTTCAAAATTACAACTTTTATATAATTTTTTTTTGGTGTATTATTATTTCACAAATAAATATTATAAAATATTTTCAGGTTACTGAATTGGTTTTCAACTATATTGTTGAAGAGATGAAGCCAATATCAACCTGTGAAAGACCTTCCTTTCGAGCACTTATTATTTACCTGACAAATGACAATTTTGTACCTGATAGGAGAGCCATTAGTAATCAGCTATTAAACAAGTACCAAACATATGTAACTGACTTAACAAATTTCTGAGAAAATGTATGTATGTATTACTACAGATATATGGAGTTCATTAAATAAAAGTTATTTAGGAATGACACTGCATTACATAGAAGAAAAATCATACAATCGATTTTCATATGTTCTAGCATGTCAACGAATAGAAGGTAGCCATAATTATTCAAACATTGCTAAATGTATTTCTAAAGTTATGAATAGTTATAAAATTAATGTCACAAAAATAACACATACAGTTAGGTACTGACAATGCCAGTAATTTTGGTAAAGCCTTTCGAGTTTATGCACAACAATTTGCACCGCCTGTAACAGTCAAAAAATAACATCACTTTAGATGCTCAAAATATTAATATATTGATGGATGCTTTCGACCAAAATACTGAACACCTTTTTGAAATAGAATCTGAATTTTTACAAAATGATGTTGAAAATGAACCGGATGATATAATAGATGTAGTAAATGTTTCTGATATTTTAACTATTGCTTCCAACAACTATAATGAATATTCTGAAGACAATGATGATTTGAATATAATTCTTTCTAATCATATAACATGCTCTGCACACACTCAATTTAGTTGCTACCATTGATACTTCAAAAATTACTAATAATCAATACAAAATTATATCTAGATCTGCTTTTGGTAAATTGACAGCCTTCTGGAATTTAGTAAGCAAGAGTACAATGGCATCGGATGTAGTTTTTAATATATGTACGTGTAAATTTCCTTTACTCGTAATAACTCGATGGAATTCATTTTATGATGCGATTAAAACATTATGATATACCGTGAAAAAATAATTGAGTGCTTTGAAAAATTGAAGCTCGGTCAATTAAAAACAACAGAATGGAATTTTTTGGAAGAATACCTTAAAGTTATGCAGCCTTTGACAACAGCTTTGGATAAACTCCAAGGTGAAAAATCCTGTTACCTTGGTTATATTGCTCCAACTATTATAGCAATTAGACGTATACTATTAAACCAAAGCCATTTGACCTATTGCAAGCCATTGTCTTTATCTATTATAAGTGGTCTTGAAAAATGATACTCTTTTATTTTTGATTTAAATGATCCAAAAAGTAAGCCCTATATATTGTCGTCGGTGACCCTTCCAAAATGTAAACTCAATTGGGTGCCTTCTCAGTTCTCTGATATTTGTAAAAAATTATTTCTGTTAGAATACAATGAAGTTAGTTCTATTATGAATACTGATTCTGGACCTTCTACAACAGACAATGATAGTGGTGATAAATTTTATACACCAATTTCCAATTCTCATCTAAGTACATCACCATTAGAAAGTTCCAATCAGCATAGATGTGAAAACTTGGCTAGTGTACAAGGATTATCTTACTTAAATTCCAAAAAGAAAGATGGAAAAGATTTAATAATTCTAGATCATTATCCAATAGTAAAACATATATTTTTAAAATACAATACTACATTACCATCTTCAGCACCAGTTGAAAGGATCTTTAACAATGGAACTCAAATTTTAACTCCAAGAAGGAATCGTTTGAGTGACAAGACATTTGAGATGTTAATGTGTTTAAAATCTAACAAGTTTAATGTATAATTGTATTTATTTTGACATTAATTAAATGATAAATAAATATAGTTTTAATTTTTATTAAGTATTTAATAATATTTTTCTATGATTTCTTCTAATGTTTTATCATGTAGGTACTCTAAACTATTTAAATATATTTTATAAACAAAATTCTGTAACACAATTTTGAACAACAAAGTATTTTAATTACATTTAATCTTAATTTTTAAAAAAGCAGATTAGGTACAGAATAATAGTTTTAACTATTCTCTCAGTTTTTTCTTCATTATGAAATACACTTTTGACGCAGAAATCCTAACCAGGGAAGAAGAAGAAAAACGCCCAACCAAAATATTATAACTATCCTCCGATCTACAATATTAAATATTAATTATCTGTTTTTTTATCTAGATAAATGTTGTTATCTTTTATCTATTATCTAGATAAATATTTCAAGTGTTATCTATTTATCTTATCTAGATAAATTTTCAACGCATCAAGGTGGATATATAGGCTATATATCCACCTTGCAACGCATTATCTGTTATCTTATCTAGATAATTTTAAAGTTATCTGTGCACAACACTGCCTAAAGCATAGAACAGTATAGGTACCTACTTAACAATAAAACTCACCGTCTTGAATGTTGTTTATTAAAGGCACATTTGAAATCCCTGGTTGGTTTAATCCATTCCGTAGTCCTATTATACCTCCTACTATACCTATAACATAAACGTTTACAGTATTGTTAAAATTTTCAACTAACAATCAGGTTTAAAAAAAGTTTAAAAAAATAAAAAAATGCCATTAACTGTAGCATACATCCGTATAGATTATATATTCCAAGTTTCAATCGTTTTGATCCAATAGATTCTTCAGAATCTTAAGAAATATACCAAAAACTGGTCCACTTCACCTCATTCTACGGTACTCTATTGACACATAGAACAATTATTGTATGTCCTAGGTTTTTGGGGGGCTACGGCTAAGTTTGGTTGGCTTACCACCCCCCAGCCCCCCCCCCCCAATTGGTGCCTATGAGTAACATTGCATACATAGGCGATAGGCCCATGCATAGACCTATAAACTAATGGACAGCGCATTCCACTCCGCCCTGCCATCAATGCACGGGAATCATATAAGATAAAGAAAGAAGAAATGACGAAGATAGAAAAGAGAGAAAAAACATAAAGGGGGAAATCATAGAAGTATGAAACTAATACTGTATTTCCCCCACGTTCTCTTTTCTCTTTTGTTCTATATCGTACCCCTGACCTTTCTCTCTAAGCGCTGTTCATTAGTTTATAGGTCTATGGCTTAATACCTCTATAATACACCGTGAATTGAATCAATTATAAATCATTGCATATTTGCATACGTAAAACGATTCTGAGCGAAGACAGTTCATTTAAGTAGGTACATGTTGTTTGATATTGCTATTTAAGTAATTTATTTTACTATCTATTAGTATTACGGTACTTATACAGATTGATTTAATTTTTGTCGAAAACAATGCATTTCTTATAAATTATAATATTATCAATATAATAAATATTTACAATAATTATATAAACTCGTCAAATTTCTATCTTCAGACACCAAAATAAATAAAATATAAGATACATATTATTGTAGAATCAATGTAATTCATTTTCAGAATGTTTTTAAAAATGCTCACATTGTATAGGTACAACACGCAAAATATCCAGCTAAAACGCAAACCGAAAGGCAAGCCTGCATCGGCGTAACTAGGAGGGGTTTAGCCTCCGGACTTCTATTTAGTCCCTTATGAGGTTTTACTTTTTAGCCCCTCCTTGGACTCGTTACTCGTAGTAAGAATCCAAATCACTACAAAAAAAAATAATGTGTAAAAATGTAAAATAATAAATTGATAATTATTATATTATAAAATATTATATAATATAATTTACTTTGTGTACAACTGTGTAGGTATGTACCAAGTACGAATTTATTGTAATTGGTCATAGTTTTCGCGGAAGAAATGTGTTTATGTGTTTAAGGTGTACAGCTTATGCCTTATCTACTTATTGCATATTAGCTTCAATAATAACGCCCATATTATATGGTAGGCGCAAAAAAAATCCAAGGAAAAAAAACTAACGGAAAAAAAGCCCAGAAATAGAAATGTGAACACATGTATACTCTACTCCTAATGACCTAATTAGTTTTTACCATATACTTATATCTGTAAAATATTATATCTTAGGTATATACATAGTAGGTACGGTACAATAATTTATAAATTATTGTAATTTTACAGTCGAAAATTGACTGACGTTTATGATTATTATCTGCTCTCTAAATATATTAAATTACATCCGGTTTTGTAATTTTTGTATACATTTTAGTATAAGGTTTACGTTTTTTGATTTATAAATTATTGTACTATGTATATACCTAAGACTGATGTTTTTTGACTCATAACTTATAAGTTATAACACAATAAATCATGACGTATACATAATATTGTGTTCATATTTATATTTTTATTTGATTTACAATCTATATTTTATACAATTAACAATGAATTATTAATTTCATTATAATATATAATATATAATTATATTTTGTTATAGGTTTATGGTAATTACTAATTAGGTCATTAGGAGTAGAGTATACATGTGTAATGTGTTCACATTTCTATTTCTATTTCTGGGCTTTTTTTCCGCGATTCCTATTATATTATATAATATTATTTTATTACCTTTAATAGGTGCCCATTTCCCGTATTAGTATACCTATTCTTATAATAATATTATAGTTACCTATATTGTTTGTATCGCACATTAGTGGTTGAATACTATTATATAATCATTTTATTTTCCAATTCTCAGTTCTCAATTTACTGTGCGTCTGTGCAGACTGCAGAGTAAGTAGGTATTATTACTAAAACTGTCACAGCCGTTATTTTGAGTACGAATACGCTATAAGTAAATACGTTAAATTGTATTGTGTATTATTATAATTTATCAAAATGATCAGTATATTAAAATAAAAAAAAAACAAATAGTGCTAAAAACGAAAATGACCCAAAAAACCTGTCATCTATAGAAGTTTCGTCAGAGACACAATCACTTAAGGTAATATTTCGGATGGTTATTATTTGATATTTCAGTTAAAATATTGTTTTTTAATTATTAATTATTGAACAGGTTTTTGGTTGTAATAATTCTAATAATGAAATTAATCTAAAAGAAGTTGCACAATCTACAATATCGGAAACTGAGCCAATGAATAAGGATATTTATTTAGAGAGTATTAAAGATACTAATGATGTGAACGATTTGGCCATTTGGGAAACAAAGAAACTGGTCCTGTAAAGCCGTTTTTTTAGTAGTAAGTTGTAATAATTTACTTTTTTTTTTTTTGTAATTAAAATATTTTATTCAATCTGTTTCAATACATGAACAATAAGAACAATTGATGAAAGTAAAAAAATAAAATAAAATAAAAATAAATGACAGATTATCCCGAATGTAGAGGCCTCCCAGCGGAGGTACTACGACATGAGTAGGACTAAATTAGGCTAGCAGGTCGCGACACCACTGTCTTTTAAGTCTTTTAACTGGGTTACCTGGGATAAAAGCAGATGATAGGTCGGAGATTAACGGATTTTTATGGTGAGCTAGGCGGCTATTGAAACGTTTATAATGAGTTTTGGCTAGTTCAGAGACAAATGGTATTTTGAGATCAGTGTGGAGGGTGTGAATAATAATTTACTAACATTATATTAATTAAAATCATAATATTTGTAATTATAAAATAAATAGGTATTATTTAACTCTTTAATACATAAAATATTTAAAAGTTAATTTCCTATTACCTAAAATTATTATCTATTTAGACGTATCTTATGGCAGTAGCTGGAAAACAAAACAGGTCTTTTAGTGCAAAATATTTGAAAGAATACTCTTGGCTCGAGTATAGACAAGAAAAAAATGCTGCATTTTGTTTTTGTTGTCGACATTTTGGACGTAGTGTTATTGATCAAGTTTTTACAAAAACTGGTTTTACAAATTGGAAAAAGGTACTTAACAAATTTAATGTGTTTATACTTTTATTTTAGTTCTAAAAACTATTTATATATGAACAATAAACATAAATATAAACTGATGTGTATCTAGTATCTAATAACTTATAATTTTACAATTAACTAATATGTTTAATGATTATATTTATATATTATTTATTAATTATTAGATGGGAGGCGCAAATTCAAAGATTTCAAAACTTAAAGCACATGCTGCTACTAAAGAGCATTTGATAAATGTTTCTAGAATGTCATGTTACAAAAATAGTGTGGTTGCTGGATGTGTTAGTTCCTAAATAACAATTACTCATAAACAATTTGTTGAAAATAATAGAAATTATTTTTAAAAAAATTATCAACATTGCACTGTTCTTGGCACGTCAAAGTATTGCATATAGAAGAAACAAACTCACCTAATTAAGGTACCCATCTATTTAATTAATAATTATTGATGAAAATATTATGTTATATAAAAATATATAAAGGTAACATTTTTGTTTTAATATTTTAATTGTAATATTGGCGTTTAGGAAATTTCATTGAAATGTGTAAATTATTTGCCAACCACAATTCAGAGTTTAAAACATCATTTAACTGTTCAATAAATTACACTAGTCCATTAATTCAAAACGATATTATTAGTTTATGTGCGAATAATGTTCAAAATATGATTATATCTGAGGTTAAGGATGCATGATGTTTTTCTATTATGTGTGATGACTGATGAAGCAAGGTAATTAAAATATTAATACAGACAACAAAACTTGTCTACTTATTTATAAAACAAGATTGTATACTAACTAATTTTTGAAAGGTGTCATAAGCAAGAGCAAATGTCAATCTATATTAGATGCTTAAAAGATTTTGAAATACTTGAACGTTTTCTAGGCTTTGTAAATGTTTCACAGAGCCAATCTGCTGATTCATTATTAAGTTTTATTTAAACTTTTTTGAAACAATTAAACTTAGAAAATATTCCAATAATTGCTCAGTCCTATGATTGGGCCAGCGTGATGTCTGGTTGTAGAGGAGGTGTGCCAACATTGCTTAAGGAGTACCATCCTAGTACTGTATACATTCATTGTATGGCCCACAGGCTAAACCTAGTGGTGGTTGATATGTGTAAAAATGTGAAGATATATAATATGTTTCATCTATTTATGTTTATATGTCAGCTCACTATTGTTTTCTCTTGTAGAATAATATAGTTTAATTAAAAAGTTAGTTATAGGTATGTAACTAAGTTAAATATTACAATTTTTAAAACCTATAATATACAGCCACTTAAATATGTTATGGTTATAGTACTTACAGTAAAAACATATTCAATAATGCTTTGGAAGCAATCTATATGCTTACCATGAATAAAAAACTTCAAGATATGGAAGTAAAATTAAAAATGAATGTGGTATGTAGGAATAAAAATTGCAAAGCCGTAGTTGAAAACTTTAAATTAATCGTAGATGTTCTACAAAAAGAGCTAGAGGAAAATAATTATCGAGTTGTTAGTCGAGCTATTGGTAAATATTAGATTTCTGGTAATAAAATAATTGTAAATAAAAACCTTTGTTAAAAGTTGTATACAGTAGAACTTCCATATAACGATCACCGAAGGGACTATAAATAATAACCGCTATTTAGAGGTGCCCGTTCTACAGAGGTAGGGTAACACTAGGATAACCCTCGACAGTAATCCCCCAGCCAGTAAGCTGTATACGTTTTATAATAGTAATATTCAGTTTAAAAAATGCATCTGATAATTATTTGATTTTTTTTTATTGATCTTGTAAGTGCCACGAGTTATATAAAGTAACTTTAATCACTTAAGACCTTAAACTCAAATTAACCCATATTACCTTAATGAGTTAAACAATGAATTAGTATACAATTGTCCATCGAAGGTCGCAGTTTGTAATATTCAATAATTTATATCAATTTTATAATTTGTTATTTGATAACTAATAAGTTACAAATTTATAATTGTATTAATGTATTATTATGTATTGATGATATACCCTGTAGGTGTCGTAGGTGATTCCGCAAGTGACTGAGTGCCATTAGTCGTTGGTATCGGCTCAGTGGTGTAACTGTTCTCCTTTTCTGATGGAATGTAATCGTTTCCCGGTTTTGTTGTAATATCGATGGCGTTATCTGTTACAAATTCGTCTGGATACGGGGAGTCGTACTTTGAACCATATTTTCCGTTCGCAGTGGCAGGTGTACTTTGCTCGATACTCCTATAATACACAAATAATATCACATGTTATATCCATTGGTTAACTCCAATATTCCATGACTACATAGCTAAAATTATGTAACCTTATCCAACCCCCCCCCCCTCACAACCATAAAAATTGGTCCTAGTTGCACCTGCAGGCTGCAACTGCTACTGTGTAAAAATTGAAAATATTTGTAAGAATAATTTAATTATTTACTTTGCAGAGGACACAACACGATGGAGTCTAATTATTATATCACGCGGATCAACTATACCTTCAAAAACTGATTAGTTTTTTTTTTTAATTTCTTTAAAGAATTCATGCAACCTCATATAGTTGTAGGGAAAATATAGTAACTTGTAACTTGTAAATATACCTACCCAAGTAATATGTACATATGTTTGACTCTGACCAACAAATTGACCGTTACATAGAGGTGACCGTTAACGGAAGTTATACTGTATTATATATTTTTATAGGAATATTGGCCATGATATTTAAAGGAGAATTTGTTGTGTATTTACATAATATCATGAATTATAATATTAAGTATTATTCAAATTTTGAGTTGTAAATTACAAATGGAAAATGAAACATTAGGAAAAGATGCTCATACTGTTATTGAAGTTATTAAAACATTTGAGAATAGTAGAAATTCAGAAAGTTTTTCAAATCTTTGGGAAGAAATTGAAAACTTTTAAATAGGAAACAGTATAGATTTGCAAATTCCTGCTAGATGTATGTTATTATTCAGTGTTTACCATATATCACTAATTTAACTTAAGTCTAAAAGTTATTCAATTATTAATATTGTTATTTAATTTTTCAGCCTCCAAGAGAAAGAGAAGAGAGATAACACAACTAAATTATTTTGTGGTGAGCACCACAACAGGTGCTGTCGATCAGAACTGTCAACAAGATTGTGAAATAACTTCAATTGATTGTTGGAAAGTTCATGCATTTTTTCCTATGATATTTAATAGTCACCATGAACAAAGTTTAGAATTGGCCCAATCTGTTGAAAGCTTCTTAGAACTTGATTTTGAAAGAATTTCCTATTTTATTGATAGTTATAAGGTAATTAAATAGCATCCAACTAATATTAATATAATTTGTCATATAATGGGTGGAGTACTTACTACTTTTTATATTTTTTACTTAATTTTTAATTTTTGTTATAAGCTTTGTTTAATATAGATGAAGATGCATTAAAGTGTGAACTAAAAGTAGCAAAAAGGTGTTTGATAAATTTACAAAATTCTGTAGATGGTATAAATGACAAAACACAACGTCAACTTATGAAATCAGTTGTGCAACAGGAGGTCTATCCAAATGCTTATAAATTGTTAAAGATTGCATTCGCTATACCAATAATTTCGGCTACATGCGAACGGTCGTTTTCGTGTATGAGGAGAATAAAAACCTACATTAGATCGACCATGACTCAAAATAGATTCAGTGATTTGACTATAATTAATATAGAAAGACAACTATCTAACATAATAAAGAAAGATGATATTTTAACAATATTTGCATCAAAATATAGGCATATACAATTATAAATGTATTATACTTAAAAGTAAAATATATTTTATTATTTACAATTTGTTTGTAATGATGAGTTTACACTTTGATTTTATGGTTTATATTAAATTTTGGTTTTAGGGGACTTTTTGTAACAACTAAATTTCAGTGACGATTATTATGGGGTTGTGGAGGGCTGTGCTCCACACATTTTATTTTACACTTTGGTTTTGTAAGACTCTAGCCCCTGTAACTATTAAATCATAGTTACGCCCATGCAAGCCTGGAGTCGTCAACAGGTTTAAGTTAATTTAAATAACTCAAGTAAGTAACTTAAGTAACTTTCACTTCTTCAAATTGTAACACTACTTTAAACTTATCAATTTTAAATTAACCTATTTAGGTAGTTAGTTAAAAATAATATTTAACTTTCCCTACCTTTCCAAAGGTCATGGTCTGTAATAATTTTGGAATTTGTCACCTAATAACCAATTAGTTATAATAATATTAATATTGGTGGTTAATGATATAAATCGTAGGTCGCTCCGTTGTGAACCAAATAAAAGGGATGGGGTCGTTGGACCACTTAGTTTTACTTTTCTTAGGTTTTGACCGCGTGTCGTCATTTTGTGTCCTAATAATCAAATATTATTGCTTGTCATAGGTATCCATTGGCATTTGGCTTAACTCCATATAGCTAAAATTATGTAACTATAGTGGAGTGCACACGTGTGGAGTGGGTGTTCAAACCCCACTTGATATTTTTTTAATACAATTTTAAAAATATTTTGATATAATATACATATATAATATTAAACAATTTTTTTTATGTAACCCCTATAATACAGTGGTATCTGTACATGACACTGTCTGGATGTGACTATATTAGAGCATCTTTTTTTTCAGTTGTATATACAAATTGAATATGAAACTCAGCACCGATTTTCCAAATTGTAGTTGCAATGGGATAAGGTGAACTAGCTGTGTCATAGGAAATATATAAACAACCCCAAATATATTGTGTCAGATAATTACATTAAAAATGTTTACTTTGTGGGCTATAAATTGGCTGAAAGGCAAGTCAGAGCCTATAAGAACGAGTACATTATAAGCTACAGAGTGCAGCTGAATATAAGACTACTGCAGTTTCTCAAATGTGACTATCCTGTGAGATATTGTCAAATTATTAAGAAATTATTGAAAATATAATATAGTTTAAAAGACTATTTTCATTAAATTTAAATTTCTGTATTAAAACCACATATAATATCATGACATTTTCATGGTGATTAATAAAGCTACTGTGCAGTAATCCCCCAGCCAGTAAGCTGTATACGTTTTATAATTGTAATAATATTCAGTTTAAAAAATGCATCTGATAATTATTTGATTTTTTTTTATTGATCTTGTAAGTGCCACGGCCCACGAGTTATATAAAGTAACTTTAATCACTTAAGACCTTAAACTCAAATTAACCCATATTACCTTAATGAGTTAAACAATGAATTAGTATACAACTGTCCATCGAAGGTCGCAGTTTGTAATATTCAATAATTTATATCAATTTTATAATTTGTTATTTGATAACTAATAAGTTACAAATTTATAATTGTATTAATGTATTATTATGTATTGATGATATACCCTGTAGGTGTCGTAGGTGATTCCGCAAGTGACTGAGTGCCATTAGTCGTTGGTATCGGCTCAGTGGTGTAACTGTTCTCCTTGTCTGATGGAATGTAATCGTTTCCCGGTGTTGTTGTATTATCGATTGAATTGTATTTTCCGTTCGCAGTGGCTGCAGGTGTACTTTGCAGGATACTCCTATTATACACAAATAATATCACATGTTACATCCATTGGTTAACTCCATGACTACATAGCTAAAATTATGTAACCTTATCCAACCCCCCCCCCCTCACAACCATAAAAATTGGTCCTAGTAGCACCTGCAGGCTGTAACTGCTACTGTGTAAAAATTGAAAATATTTGTAAAAATAATTTAATTATTTACTTTGCAGAGGACACAACACGATGGAGTCTCATTTATATATTACACGATCAACTATACCTTCAAAAACTGATTAGTTTTTTTTTTTATTTCTTTAAAGAATTCATGCAACCTCATATAGTTGTAGGGAAAATATAGTAACTTGTAAATATACCTACCCAAGTAAATAAGTAATATGTACATATGTTTGACTCGGCCCGCATTATAGTAGCAAGTACAATGTACAAGCACTATAGCATCCAGTGGCGTATCCAGGATTCATTTTACGGGGGTGTTTTTAAATTTAATAGACGTTTGGTAGGTGGTCGACTTTGCCCCTCACACCCCCCGTATAACATAAACAAATACCATATAGTACTATTTGCAAGTCGTATAACACTTTTATACTAGATATAACTAAAATAATAACTTTTAGATTCTGAGTGAAATGATGAATGTATTAATTTTACAATGATGTGTGTTTTTTTTGTTTTTTTTTTTTTTATAGTGAAAGTGTCGCGTAAAATGGGTGGCTTCTTTCTTCAATTTTTATCATGTCATATTTTTACTCTGAGCCTATATGCTTATTGTGTCATTTGGTACAGATTGTATATTACTTATTTGCAAATAAAAAAAATGTGTGTTTTTTTTAAAAAATTTTTTTTATTTTTTTGTGTCTGTGTACACGATAAGTAGTCGAAATAATGCTTCGATTTTCAACTTCAGTATCTTGTTCGATTGGAAAGTGAATATCGTTGGTGCATTGGGGAGGTCAAAATTTAAATTTCCCAGTAGTTTTCAAAAGCGCCGGGAAAAACAAAAGAAAAATTATGGAAAAACGGGAATTTTTACGCAAAATCTGCTTTCGAGAAAATCAATTTTGGTTTTTGGTGTAACTTTGAAACAAATGACCGTAGATACATGAAATTTTCAGTGGTTGTTTATAATTGCATTTTCTATACACGATAACATTTTCAAAATATTTTGATTTATTTTGAACTGTTTAGGGACATTGTCAGTTTCCAATTTTATTAGGTTTTTTTTTTATGAATATCAATAAAAATGTATTTGTTGAGTAAAAATACTTGAAAAATTTAATACAAGGCTCCTACTATATTGTTTCAAAGACAGATGAAAAATATTAAAAATCGTTAGTCACAGTTTTTTTTTTAAGCATTTAAAGTTCAAAAAATGACAAAATATGGAAAAATCACGAAAATTTGCAAATTATTTCGAGTTAGAAATTCATAAAAAATTTTCTTTTTAAATCTAAGATATGAAAATGTAATACAAGATTCCTTATAAGATTTTCCTACATTTATCAAAAAAAAAATTCTATAAGAAAGTCAAATTAAATTTTTATGAGCGTTTTAAATTCAAATTTTTACAACATTGGATATTCACTCGATTTCTCATGTGGCGATTTCCTTATTTTATTGTAATTCAAAAACGAATTACTGAAGATACATGAAAATTTCACTGAATGTTTATATTAGCATTTCCTATACACCATACAATTTTGAAAATATTTTAACTCTTTTTGAGCCGTTTACGGACACTTTCAGTTTTCAATTTTTTTAGTTTTTTTTTTCTATAAATATCAATAAAGTTTTATCTGTTGGGCCAAAAAGTGTAAAAAATTAATACAAGGCTCCTGATATATTGTTACAATATCAGTTGAAAAATATTAAAAATACATAGGCATAGTTTTTTTTTATAAGCATTTAAAGATCGCATTTTGACAAAATTTATCAAAATCTCGAAAATTATCAATCATCGTAATTAATAAATTATAAAATTTTCAGTTTTTATAGCTAAGGATTGAAAATTTAAAAAAAAGATTCTCATAAATAGTTCATACTGTAGCCAAAAAATCTAAAAAATATATGAGCACAATTATTTTTTACAGACATTTTAAGTTCAAATTTGGGACGAAATTACATATTAAAAAACCTAGAATACCTATTTTAGTTATTTTGTTGTGAGTGTATAATACTATCGTGGGTACTTGTCACTTGAAACTTCTAAAGTACACTATATTATATATCTATGATAGTATCAGGGTTTGTTATTGATGTATAACGTGTTATAAGTACCTAATGGATATTGTGATAATGTGATATGATTAATTTGGAATTTATTATAGGTCAATTTTTTTTTTAATACCATAGATATGTGTATAATATGTCTTAAACCTAGACTGACATACCGTCTTCGCTCAGAATCTTTTTTCTTATACAATGATATTGTATCATTGAATTCAAATTTAATAGCATCCATTATACAGTGGTCAGTGACCTACTTGTAACCTACTGTACAGCAGAGCAACATCCACTTACCCACCTTTTTATTTTATTAATCACAAAAAAGAAATAATAATAATATGGTACATATTATGATAAATTGAGAACCTAGGTGATATAGGTGTTAGAACACCCTCCATCATCCGTATTTTGTTATATTTTCACCAAACTCTGAATTTACTCAAGAAGTACAACGGTCGGTGGAAAAGGCGATTCGAGTATCCACCATCGGACCGATGGCACATCGTCCGACGTTAAACTCATCGCCCGAGCGGCACGTCATGTATTATTATATTTTGGTCGTAATATTCTAATACAGAATTTGTGACATTCATAAAGTGTTTGTGTTGTGTTTTCATCACCCCAATCCTAACCAGACACTTCGACCGGACCACGATCAACATTGAAACAATATCATCGGGTCCGCGTCATGTTGTAATGTTGTATTATATCAGAATAATAGTTATGTCATATGTGACTATACAATTATTCATTTTTAAATTGCAAATAGGTACCTATGTTTATAGTTTATACTTAAATAGTTATATTAAATCTATAATATATTTTAATCTATAGATAGGTATATGTAGGTACTATATTCTACTTTTTATTATTCATATTAATTGATTCAAAATTAACAAACTTTAGAAGATTTGTATATATTTTGTTGAAGCAGAAAAAAGTGTGTTTTCATTGATATACCATATGTTCATGTACGGCAAAAAAAAGTCATAGCAGCTGGTATGGACAGTCGACAGTAGGTACCATCATATATTCATATCTGACTTCTCCGAGAAGCTAATTAAAGCTATGAGTACTGAGTAGTACTCGTATGGTACTAAAAAAGCTGTATTGGTTTTCTAGAAGCATTACCTACTACCATTGATTTTATAATATAATATAGTATATTATAAAATCAATGCTACTACCCAGTGCCGCAGTTAGGATTCTTGGGGCCCCGGACAAAGTCAATGTATGGGGCCTTGGCCCCTAAGGTCTATAAATATAATATGTTTTTATAGGTTACCTATACAAAAAAAATAATTAATGTGATTATTTTTTAAAAAGCTCAAAAATATAATGCGGAGTTCCACTACCCAGTGACCATTTATAGATAAATATAGATATTATTATGGATAAATAGGGGCCCCGTTCTTCGACAACCAATTAGATAGCATAATAAGTTATAAAAATAAATATTTTTATTTAATACCTAATATATTTTATTTGATTTAAACATTAGATTACAATGAAATTATTTAAAAATTTAAAATAGATGCGGGGCACCGTCGGGGAACCCTGAGCCCAAGAATAGCGTCCCTCTACAAGGGCATTGTCCCGGCTGCCCCTGCGGTTGTTGCGGCACTACTACTCCTACCTACCTATACCTATTGACTATTAATTTGTCCTACAATATTAGCCATTTTACATTTATCCCCATTATCACGTACCTAATTACGACCGCCAACAGCAATATTTACTATTATTACATAATATTAGGTATCTACATCAATACTTTATTTCTGTATGAAACATAACACTTATTTGAATGCTATAAAATAATATACCTAATTTTTTAAATCCATTTTCCTAATTTTTTGACGAGGCATCCAGTGTCTTAAACCAACATAAAGCTCTGTCCATTAGCTCTTTTATACTCACACGTGCTGCTGCCTAGTATCTCCATGCCATTCTCTGCTAAGTCTACTCTGTTCATCAGCCTCTTCTTTGGTCTTCCTCTGCTCTCTTTATTTCCGTCAACATTTTCTTATTCACCTAATGTTATGTGAAGATGCTATTTTAATTATAATCAATAAAACATAGGGATATAGTTACCCATCATTAACAGGTGAAAAAAAATGTTCCAATAATAAAGGTTGTGACATGGAAAAGGTAGTAAGCCATAAAAACCAAATTTTACAAGAGAAGGAAAAAGAAGTTTTTATGACCACGATGACTTACGACCAGTGCTATCTTGTATTCAACGTAATTACTAATATTTAAAGAAATTTGAGTGAGTTCTTTTCCCTGGCCATTGACATATGTATTTACTACTTTTTCAATGAAAAAAACGAAAAATTGATTTTTTTTTCTTAGTATCTTTTCCATGTCAATCCCTCAATTATTAACATTTTGGAACTAGCCCCCACCTACAGATAGCTGATAATAATAAAATTAAAGGATGCACACGAATTTCGTACCAAATCAGGTAAACGAAGTTAAACTAACCTTTTTGAACGAATTGCGTCCCAGACTCAATTCGTTTTACCTTTTCACCTACATTTAATTATTATAATTGGTTCCTAAAGTGATATTCCATAATATTATAGGTAGGTCAGGTAAAATATTATATAGGTATACATCAACTAATTTTACTATTATTTTTTTAAAAAAGACGAGTCCCCAAATCTGAGTAAAAAGCGAGATGCCTAGGGGCTTATATTATATATTTAAATATACCAATCATAATATTTCTCTTCTGTCGTCGTCTCTCCGAAATCGAATTGTGTATTTGGAGAACCAGTATTTGTATTGGTGGTTCTGGCAGTTGACACTAAAGTACATACGATTAATGCGCAGGACAACGTACACATCTATAATTATTAATTTATTTTTATTATTTTTATTATAAATTATTACTGGCTAGTGGCTAGGTTAAAACTTATTTTACAGTCAAGTTTCGATAACTCAAATTTTTTTTGCTATTTTAAAAGGTTTTTAAGTTGTGTTAGAGATATATAAAACTCGAAAAACACAAGTATAATTTATTTTTATTCCCTTCGACTACCGAGAGTCGAATTATCGAGGCTCGACTGTATTATGCAAAGTCTCTATTGTCACTGCAAAAATATCTCACATTAGACGCAGTCGACATTTTCATTTTTACCACCAAGCTTTAGCTCCTCTGCAAGCGGGTGCGTGACGTGTGTAGGTATGTTATATTCGATCACGAATGGAGAAATCGGTATTTATTTATAATATATTTTGAAGACGAATCGTAGGTACGACGATAACATACTGCATCAATAACAGTTATTGAACGGACAGTATAGTGTTGTGAGATTTTTTCTTAAGGTTCTTCGCATTAATGATGATCGTGGCGTGCAATAATGTCTATAATTGTTGTATAATTAAAACTATTATTAAATTATAATTATGATGATTTTTACTGACTAATTCCAATAAGAAAATACACAATATGTGACTCAAAATATAATCGACATTTCTTATAACTATATTATTATAATATAGAAGATGATAATATTTTAAGGTCCGAGTGTTGTGTCATAATTATTCGGCAATTAGGAGTACATATTATTATGGTACGGACAATGAAACATTGTTATGTAATTACCTATAATTGTACAATTTAATAATAACATAAATGTAAACCTAGTATGATACTAGCTATAGTAGCTATAAATTATAATTACTCATTAAATAAAATGTTAATGTCATACAAGTGTGTTCTTTTTCAATTAAAATGTAATTTTATATCCACAGTAATTTTTTATGAGCGTCTGAACACTGAACTTAAAATTTAGAAAAAATTCATAAAAATCACGAAAATTTGCGAATTATTTCTAGTTAGAAATTCATAAAATTCAATGTACCTATGTCAAATGCTTTAAATTTGTATACAAGACTCACCTTAAGATTTCCTAAATTCAACAAACAAAAAATTTATCATCTAATTAATTTTCTACTAGTGTTCAGGGGCGGATCCAGGGGGGTGGCGCAGGGGGCGCTCGCCACCCCCTCGGCTTTTATTTAGTTGAAAAATTACATTTTAATTACAATTTAAAAATTGTAAAATGTTTTTATGAAATTATTGTGTGTAGCGTAATGACGTACTTTTTAATAAATAATAATAAGACGTATTTTTATATTCCGCATCGCCGGACGGCGGTTCGAGGTTATTTCTAGTTTCTAGTGTTTCTACATGTGTAGTGATTAGTGTTTACGTATTATTAATATTATCTTGATAAGTATTTGAATTATATCTAAAAATAAATATTCCATTCATATTATTTTCGGGCCACGACGCGCGACGTACGGCACAGTCCCCGTTATCGTAATAATTGAAATAGATATCTATACACATAATATTTCACTATTCATCAGATTAGACAGATTACAATTTAACCTCTTCGTGCATGTAGGTATCATATGATACCGCAACTAATTTAATTTTAGCTGTTAAATATTTTTGATCCTTGATAATTCAATCAAAAAATTTGATCAATTGATAATTGGACTTTATTTTGTAATTTTATTAACTGTACAATGATTATTTTATAATTAAGCACCTATATATGAAGTTATAATAACAGTAACAACTATTTTATTTTCTGTTTTGTTTTATTGATTATTTAATATAAAATAAAGTTTTATACCTACTTGAATTAAACTGTGATTAATTTTATTTGAACGTAAGTTAGTTCAAAATGATAAATTGGTAATACGTTTATATATAATAGTAAGTATGTAGTACCTATTTAAAGTATAGTAATACTTAAACTAATTATTGCTTAAGTAAAGTATTTATTTTATCATAAATAGTAATTATGATTCATTATTTTTATATATCTACTTCTTATCTATACCTATCTTTATTACATTTTTAGATATAAATAAAATCATAAACATATTTGGGAAAATACTTTTAATTTTACATAAATATAATTTTAACTTACATAGAAAGTTTGACGAAAAATCGGAAGACCAATGTAATTGGTATACATAAATGTCTAGAAAATGTGCGCCCCCCCCCCCCACAGAAAATTCCTGGATCCGCCTCTGCTAGTGTTTGAAGTTAGACATTGGATATTTACCCGTAAATTAACAAATTCTCATTCAACGATTTTCTTATTATTTTGTTATTCAAAATAATGTACTTATACTTATACAATTTCATTTTAAAATGCAATTTTGTTAACAAAAAATAATATTTAACTTACACTAGTGTCCAGTCCAGCTCTAGTGCTAATGCCCAATAGTTGAATAAAATACTTTAATCCCAATAATATTATACAACTTACTTAGTAATATTATGTGCTGATTGACCGTCTTGAGTCTTCGCTCAGAACCGTTTTTCGTAAACATACAAATATACAATGATTGTATATCATTGAATTTAAATTAAACACCATATACATTACAGTGACCAACTTGTAACCTACTGTACAGCAGAGCGACACCCACTTACCCGCCTTTTTTTTGTCATTAATTTAACTCTACTCGATTTTTTAATATAAATATTTTATTCTTTGGCACGCTATTTTGAGAAGACCTCTGGTTAATCATTCGTTAGTAAACTAATTATTGTATATAATGTTTTGGTTTTAAGAATCGGGAGATTATAGACAGTTGTCTTCAGAGTACCTATATGAGGTGCGAGGTGCCTATTATGTACGATGAGTCGCCTTCTAGTAGCGTCCCAAATAAAAAAGTATAACAATAAGGTATAGGTAGGTAATTTACATTACTATAATATTAGATATACTATATACCGCTATAAACGTCAACACAGATATACATAGAAATTATTCAGAAAATATTTCTATTAAATATATGTTCTTATAACTTATTACATTTTTAATATTTTTTTATTAAGCTTTGGTACCTATACTGACTTGATTTAAAATAAAAATTTGATTTTTTTTTTTCTTTGTATATTAATATACCTTTTTGTTAAATATCTATTACATGCAGTGCCGTAAAAACCGGGTGTGCAAAGTGTGCACCGCACACAGGCCTCGGGCCTTATAATATATCGAAGGGCCTCAAAAGATCTAAAGACTAATATTAAACTAATATAAAATTATTAAAATATATAAATTATTTATTATTGATTTGGAAACGAAACCAATGTAATTTAATTTTTTTTTATGTAGCATGGAGTCGTGATCACTGATCACTGTTTTTAGATTTTGAGCGGAGCGAACAAATATATTGATTTTACAAGATGTGTATAATTTTTTTCATTTCTGTCGAACGTCGGTCATCAACATTGGGTAGTAAATTCTGAATTTCGAGATCAGCATTTTTTCTGTTAAAAAAGTGAATCTAGTTGGTACTTTTTGGAGATAGAAACCGAAATTTTTAGTTTTAGATATTAAAAAGCGTCAATAAAAAAAAGGTGGGTAAGTGGATGTCGCTCTGCTGTACAGTAGGTTACAAGTGGGTCACTGTATAATGGATGGTATTAAATTTGAATTCAATGATATAATATCATTGTATAAGAAAAACGATTCTGAGCGGAGACGGTATGCCCTTCTAGGTAAAAGACATTATATACCTACATATCTATGGTATTAACAAAAAATTGACCTATAATGAATTCCAAATTAATCATATCACAATATCCATTAGGTACTTATAACGCGTTATACACCAACAACAAACCCTGATACTATCATAGATATATATAGTAGATTACTTTAGAAATTTCAAGTACTCACGAATAATATTATACAATCACAACAAAATGGGCGAATGTAAGTTCCCACACGAGATATAGCAGGTAAAAATTACCCCTGGATATCCATACGTAAGTTCCCACACGAAAAAAATTACACTTGTACGTAAGTTCCCACACGAAATTTCAGACACATAATAATGTTTATATAAATTGCTTATAATTTTAACTTTTAATTCGTTAATGCTCAGCCTTGCCAAACACAAACTTCCTTCCCACTTTATTCAGACTTAGGACTGACAACTTAAACGTAGTTGGTGTGGTTAAAATTTGTTTTGTTTTTGTATTGCATAAAAAAAAGTCCAATTGAATCTAGTCCGTATAATATATAATAAAAATTAATAATATAATGTGTATAATATTTGTATATTATGTATAAAATAAAAATAATAATAGAAAAAATCAAATTTTATTAGGTTTATTGCGATAGCTCAAACACTATATTGTAAAGTGTTATTAGATCAAACAAAATGTGATTATTTCTATTATTATTATTTATTTTATAGGTACCTATACAAATAATGTGTGGAAGAAGAAAAACAAAATAAAATATCAGATTGACTATGTGACTTTTGACTATGTGAAGTGTTTGAGCTTTCGAAATAAACCAAATAAAATTTGATTATTTTCTATTATTATTATTATTTTATACCTAAAAAAATTTCGTTTAAGTTGTCATTCCTAAGTCTTACTAACTTAACTTACGTACAGGTGTAATTTTTTCCGTGTGGGAACTTACGTACGGGCGTATTTTTTTTCGTGTGGGAACTTACATATTATGTACTCGCTTACCTGCTATGTTTCGTGTGGGAACTTACCAAACCCCAACAAAATAACTAAAATCGTAATTCTTGGTTTAAATATGAAATTTTGTCTGAACTTGAAATTAAAATGTCTGTAAAAAATAAGTGTGTTTATATATTTTTTAGATTTTTCGGTTACAGTATGAATTATTTAAGAGAATCTTTGTTTTAAATTTTCAACTCTTAGTTATAAAAACTGAACATTTTATAATTTTTTAATTCCAACGATTGATTATTTTCGAGATTTTGATAAATTTTGTCAAAATTCCAACTTTAAATGCTTATAAAAAAAAATCGTGCCTATGTATTTTTAAAATTTTTCAACTGATATTGTAACAATATATAAGAAAGCTTGTATTCAATTTTCAGACTTTTTGGCCCACCAAATAAAATTTTATTGACAATTATAAAAAAAAAAACTAAAAAAATTGAAAACTGAAAATGTCCGTAAACAGTTCAAAAAGAGTCAAAATATTTTCAAAATTGTATGGTGTATAGGAAATGCTAATATAAACATTCAGTGAAATTTTCATATATCTATAGTTATTCGTTTATGAATTAAATCAAAATAAGGAAATCGCTACATGAGAAATCGAG